TTTTTTTCATTTATTTAAATAAAAATAAGCAAAAAATACTTTTGATTTTGTTTTTCTCTTTTTGTTCATTAATATTATAAATTATCTTTAGTATATTTTAACTTATCATTGGTATCTAAATTATCATTGATATATTTTAACTTAATTTCCAATTGCATTTAGATGACATACAAAAATTTATGCTACTCACCATTCCTGCTGGTTCTCGAGAATTATCTTCATATTGACATTTTGCTTGAATTTTTGAAAAATGATGTTGATATTAATGCCATAAGGTGATCATTGTTCAATTTTGAATAAAAATTAATTTTATATCTTTGTTTTCTTTTTTCATTTAAAATATCAAAAAAATAAATGCAATAAATTTGTTTTGTTTCAGTGATGATAACAATTTTGATGTACCAGATGCATTACTTGTTAGTTTATCAACCTATAAATTGGATCGATTACATATCCTTTTGTCGTGCGGATTAGATCCAATGCTGAAGGTACGCACAATATTTTCAATCATTTATCAGTTTGCTAACATTAAAATTATCATTCAATAATATTGATTAGAAATTTACCAATCATACCACACATTTAAAATTGATTACTAATTTCTCTCACTTTTTTTCTTTTCATAATATGCAAGTATCATCGATAAAGATAGTATGATAGTAAATATACCAATTATTATATATTTAAAATTGATAAAAAAGATAAAATCAAATCACCTTTACGAATAACGGATTTTAAGAATTGGTGCGGATGCAAATACGGCAACCAATCACTCTTGGAAAATGTTATGCAATCACCGGATGTTGCTAACATAAAAAAATTGCTAAAACTGCTACTGCACTATTCACCATCAATACCAGCTTGCTGTAATGAGATAGCTAATATTATCGGCAAAAATTTATCAAAGGTAATTTCAATAATTGCTCCATTTTTCGAATATTTATGAATAAAATTTTTGAATTGTATATGATAAATTAGTAATGTTAGATATGGTAACATTTATTATTGAAAATCTTGCTTTTGTGCGCAAGCATTATTATTTCCTAATCTGTATTAAAATTCTAATTTTAATAATAAAATATTGTATGAAAAAAATTTTTCCAATTATAAAAATTGCAGGTACCAACACTTCGTCATTTATGTCGTCTTGCTATACGCAAATCATTTCCAACATCACAACTTTTACACGGTCAAATTTTGAAAAATTTATTAATACCGCAAAGTTTGAAAAATTATTTGAATTATTGTCATTCTTTTTCGTCTCGTTCACTTTCGCTTACCTTTAAATCACTTTCAATGTAATAATTTTTTATGGAATAATTGAAATTAATCTCATCGTGTCTTTTGCTATTGTTGTGGCTTCCATCTATTTTTGCTTAATTTTTATTAGTTAAATTTCGTTAGTGAATAATTTGAAAAAATAATACATAAATTTTCTGTACTTTCTGATTCATTATATTGTTTAGAGAATTTTGATAAATTTGAATCAAGAAAAAAGCTAAATTAAATTGTTCCGTTTTTCTGTTTCAAGGAAATCCATTTATTTTTGCTTCGTTTAACAATGGATTCTTTGCTTCATCATGAAAGGAAGGATTCAGAATTCAGTATGCCATCCTTCGGAAAGATGAATATTATAATTTATAAATTTGCAAAAATTTCTTTAATGCTCCTTCCATTTGATGGTTTTGTTCTTGCAGTTTTTTTTTCCCCAATTCATATTATCAGCTTTTCATTTACATTCCATTTCAATTTTTCATACAAATCGCATTTTCATTTATATTATTCAAATGACATTTTCATTTATTTTTAAATTCATTGTTTCGATCATTTATATTTCTGCCATATAAGAAAAATGTTTGAGAAGTTAATTTTGAATAATTAACTTCTCCGTTTTCTTTAATATAATTATTTGGCACCTAAAATTTCTTATTTCGTTGCAATTTTTTCATTCAAATTATATAATTTTGCAAAAGTCAGGATTTAATTGTTGAGAAGAAAAAAACACTTTAATTCAATTAATTACTTTGGCATAAACAAAAAAAAGAGGTTGCAAGAAGTTCTTAAGTTTAAAATTTTTAAACATTTTTGTCGATATTTTCGTAATATGAAACAATATGTTTTAAATGTTTTATGTTTTATTGCTATCTAAAACGTATTAATATAAAAAATACAAAATGAATCGATGCAAATTATATTTCAAATTGCAAAATTGTAAATTTCGATTAGAAAAATTTCATAATAAACGGTTGCTAAATATTTGGAAATTTCTATTTACTATTCAATGAGAAAATAATAGCACATCAATTATTACGGATCATTTCGATCATTTTTCAATAATAATTTGTTTACACAAAAACCCATCACATGCATGGCCTTTTGTGTAAACAAATTATATTGAAGATTTATCGAAGTAATCCGTAAGAATCGATATGATGTTATTTTTCAATTTGCATTTTCCACACGGCTATTTTATATTGCATTGCAAATTTTCATTGAAATTTATCTCTTGCCATTCATTGTTTATAAAAAAATTCAATAAAAACAACGCTTTAAATATATATGCAAAATTAAAATTGAACAAATTTGGTGAAGCAATAAAATTCATATCTTCCTATAATCTGTTTAAGTTAACAGATAAAACTTTGAAAAATTAAAAAAAGAGAACTATCTTATTTTTTCTCCAAAGAAAAAAATGACAGCTAATGGTTATTTTTCGTTCAAACATTTCAAGTTTACTTAACTGGGTCATAGTACTTAAATTTCTTGGCATATAATTAATTAATTATTTACAACCTACTTTTTACAATGCAATTGATAAAATGGAGGAAGAAATTTGACGATAACATATTGCTATTGTCACATTTGCTCCTTATTTTACCTTCATTTCTTGCAAATTCCATACTGAATCATTTATTAGTAATATATACTCGTAAATCAAATAAACAATAATTAAATTAAAAAATTAATGAAGTATATTTCCGTTTTTTTTTCAAATATATATTTTATTTGCCAGCTTTTCATGCAAGAGAAATAAAAATAATTTCTTATTTGTGTATTGGTGCATCCATTATTCCTTTTATTAGAGGATAATTACAAAATACGAAATAGAAAAGAAAGAAAAAGATAAAATTTTGTTACAAAAAAAACAATAACAAAGTGATATATTTGAAATTATATTTAAACTGAAAGTATAATTTGAATACATGTTCAAATTTTTGATCAAAAATTACATGAATGTAGACAAAATTAGCAATTTTACATGCTTTTGTTATTAAAATGCTACTGTAACATTTTCGAATTTGTTCAAAAAACTTTACAGTAATTTGAATTGAATTAAAACTTCAATATC